CTCGATTATTTAAGACGATTTTTCAATTCATGTAGATTTTTGTTTTTGTTTTTATTCAGTCATAAAACTGCTCAGGGCACAATCAGGGCAAAAATAAACAAGAAGCAAGATGATCACTAAAATAACTCCCGATTCCCAGTATAAAAAGACCAATGTACTTGTGGCAAGGTGGATAAATGAGAGCCCAGGCAGGATTCGATCCCCAGACTCCCAGGTGAGAGTCATACTCTCTAACCAGTCAGCCAAAGAGACATCCCCTTGGCCAAGTAGCCAGGACGCATAATCTATCGGGACACTGTGACAGGACACTCACACTGCCACATACTTATAGCTCATAGTTTATGATCCAAGGGCTATAGACCTTGGTTTAACTCATTTAAGTCTAACCAGTACAGACCCAAATACCAATATCTTGCAAATACTGACAACAAGAATTATACAGTGGCATTTATAACAAATACATGCAAATTGATGTTCACAAAATGTTGCATAACATTTATTTAGTCATGTCAAGGTGCTCTAGGAGCGTGCACTAGCACCGTGTCCTCAGAGAGATTAGTTATTAGTTATCAGCGTGAGGAACTCATTTCTACCTTATTTATAAACTATTTATTTACAAGTCGTCCATCAGTTAATGTAATAATTGTCACAACCACAGCTGCACCCCCCACCCCCCAACCCGGTCTCACAGCTATCAGGGGCAAGCTGCACGCGCACGCGCCGCACGCGCACATTTAGCCGTTTTTAGCGGCTCAGGAGTCCGCAGGTACGGTGTGTGTGTCACTCACTCTGGTTAATCCAACAAGAAGCCGGCTCCGAGAGCTGTCTTTAGCGACTATCATTCCCTTTCCTAATGTCCTGAAGAACGGTCCGCAGCGCAGGCGGAGTGTTTAGCTAACCTGCAGGAAACGTCGACGACAGTTATCCAGAAAGTAGCTAAGGGTTACCAGAGATGTTTCTGAGGTGTTCGCTAGGTACTTTTAAGATTTAAAAAGTCAAGAAGGGGGTCTGAAAAGCTGTTGGAAATAGCGTCAAAGTCGCTAAGTTGGCAACACTGTGAGGAGCGCTTCATTTGCAACTCAGGGCAGCGCAAGTGGGAGGAGCAAATAATCGGCTTGTTTTGTTTTTATAATCGTTCATAATATTTCATTCGGAATATATTTCTATGTCGATGTTCAGAATACGACACCTGATAGTCCGAAAAAATTAATACCTAATTTGGAAAAAATAATACCTCTGTGACCAAATTTAACACTTTTAATGGCCTTAAATTTGACTATTTTTATTTATCACTTTTTAATACTTTTTAAAACCCCGCGGACACCCTGTGGACTTCAGGCATGTTGGCATTTCCCTCTGCCCAGTCTTCCTCCAGACTCTGGCACCTTGATTTCTGAATGACGTGCAAAATTTGCTTTTATCCGAAAAAAGTACTTTAGACCACTGAGCAACAGTCCAGTGCTGCTTCTCTGTAGCCCAGGTCAGGCGCTTCTGCCGCTGTTTCTGGTTCAAAGGTGGCTTGACCTGGGGAATGCGGCACCTGTAGCCCATTTCCTGCACACGCCTGTACACGGTGGCTCTGGATGTTCCTACTCCAGACTCAGTCCACTGCTTCTGCAGGTCCCCCAAGGTCTGGAATCGGTCCTTCTCCACAATCTTCCTCAGGGTCCGGTCACCTCTTCTGGTTGTGCAGCGTTTTCTGCCACACTTGTTCCTTCCCACAGACTTCCCACTGAGGTGCCTTGATACAGCACTCTGGGAACAGCCTATTCGTTCATAAATGTCTTTCTGTGTCTTAGCCTCTTGCTTGAGGGTGTCAATGATGGCCTTCTGGACAGCAGTCAGCTCGGCAGTCTTACCCATGATTGTGGTTTTGAGTAATGAACCAGGCTGGGAGTTTTTAAAAGCCTCAGGAATCTTTTGCAGGTGTTTAGAGTTAATTAGTTGATTCAGATGATTAGGTTAATAGCTCGTTTAGAGAACCTTTTCATGATATGCTAATTTTTGGAGAATTTTAGGAGTTTTGGGTTTTCATGAGCTGTACGCCAACATCATCAATAATAGAAACAATAAAAGGCTTGAACTACTTCAGTTGTGTGTAATGAATCTAATATATATGAAAGTCTAATGTTTATCAGTACATTACAGACGATAATGAACTTTATCACAATATGCTAATTTTTTTGAGAAGGATCTGTATATCCTGTAATTTTCTATAGGATCTTATTGGTATTCATGTTAATTGGTATTCATTCTTTTCTTTTGTTTTTATTGTATCGTTTCTTTTATCTGATTGTTATTTTCTTTTAAAATGGACTTTAATTCTGGCAATAAACTTATATATATACATATAATTATATATAGTAATGAGCTGTAGGGGGTTATTGTGAGTGCGGACTAGTGATGGGAATTCTGGCTGTTTTTAGAGAGCCGGTTCTTTTGGCTCAGCTCACCAAAAAGAGCCGGCTATTTCGGCTTCCAAGTGGCTCCTCAGATTTTCTGTTGTGTAGAGACCACTTATCACTGAGAATAATGCAAAATTATATGTAAAATTATTTACTAATGTAAAAAAATGCTATATATCAAATATTGATCATTTCTATGGATTTATTAACTGAACGCTTTAAGAAATCTCAACTTTCCGACTGCTGTTGCTCATTTTCTGTCTTCGTCACACTCTCGCTCGCCTTTTTCCCCCTCCTCATTCCCTCTCGTCTCCCTCCGCCCGCATGTGCTCTCTGTGTGTCTGAGTCTGCTCCTCCCTCTTCCCCGCCCCTGCTGCTCTGTGTGTGGACAGTCTGGATACGCAGTTACACATGTTGACCAATCGCCTGTAGCTTTCACCAAAGCAAGAGGGGAGGGGGGAGACGATGGCTCCCAATGACGAGCCGGCTCCCGTCGTTCACTTCAAAGAGCCGGCTCTTAGACCGACACGTCACTAGTGCGGACTAATGTTACTGCTGCTTTCAGAGACGGGTGGCTGATAGGGAGCCTAAAGCTTGGTTTATGCTTGACGCGTTCACTTTCCGCGCGGTGAAGCGGCTCGCGGCTGGAACGCGCTTCACAACTCGCAGTGTTTATGGTTCATGCGGCTCGTCTCTGCGGTGAGCCAATATTCTCCCAAACTGTAGGGGGCAGCATGGAGCTCTACAGCATGCATCCAACACTACACCATAGTAGAAGTAGAAATGACTGTTTACAACATGGCATTCCAGCATTTTTAACAGCGCCCTCGTCTTTTCCGACAGTGCGAGCTATTTCTCTCCAAGAATTATTAACAACATGTTGATCACGGTGATCTCTGAGAGCTGAATCATACAAATGTCTGTATTTACCAACCTCTGACATACTAGTTACTGCCGGTCCGCCATGTTTTTCCACGTCCGTCCGTCCGCGTGGTTAGAAAATTTCCTAAGTGCGCGGTGCGGAAAGTTTGGGCCGTGCGGAGGAGCGGTGGAGGGACATGGTTGTTAAAATGACGCAATTTCACCGCGCGGAGCCGTACGAACCTCGCGGACGCGTCAAGCGTAAACCAACCTTAAGTCTGCGTCAGCCTGAAGAAGCCGGCAGCCGTCGGCGAAACTGTAGCTACTAACAGGTAAACAAAACTGTTTCTGTGTTTAAAAAAGAACAAAAGCATGGCTTCTCCCTTTCCAGTCGGATCACGGGTCCCTGAACGCGGCTAAAAACGATATTTTTAACCTGCTCTGCCTCACGCCCTGGATCACACTGCTGTACTGCTATTTAAATGAAAAGTAATGATGGTGTTTCGACCACGCCACTCACGCACGTTGAGATTTATCAGCTTGTAAAAGTTCGTAATTAGCATGACTACAAATCAGAAATCGGCACGTCGCATATGTGACGTCACCACATAAGCTCCTCCCCCTAGCGTAGCTGCTACTCACCACATGACCAGATTCATGGTGGTTCTTCCCTCCTGTGGGAAGTTTGCTGACCTTACAGCCTTTTCCCTCAGTTTCCTCCGTGTCTGGTTCGATGACGTCACTTTGGTGAAGCGCCTTTGTAGTCCTGGACTTATTTTCTCACTAAACTAACGTTCCCTTGGTATCAAAATGTGTCTTTAAAATTCACAGACATTATGTGTGAAATGCATGGCACAAACAAGCGGAGCTAGAAAATAAGAGTTCTCAGCCCCGTTGACTTACATTCATTTTCTCGTTCTTCCGGGGACCCAGGTCTGGAAGTAGATGGGCGGGGCTTAGACTCCCCATGGTGAAAGTGAAACTGCAGTGAGATGCGACCTTATTTCAGCTGTTTGTTGGTCTCACAAACCACTGTTGGGGCAACATGACGTTTTGGTTCTGCACAAATGTTACGGTAATAAGGGTTAGGGTTGTTCTCTCTCGTTTGTAGAACAGCTGCTGAAGGCTTCCGGCCTGCAGATCATCTAAATGCTCAGAGGGAGGGCTGCTGCAGATCAGAGACCGCGTCACGGACTCATGCACACGCTCAGACGGTCTGCAGTTTGTGGTTTCAGGACGTTTATTTTATTTTGACAGCTTGAGCGGAGGCAGGTCGGTCCTCATGTCCGAGGATTATATGGTTTTTGTCGGACAATCTAACAGCAGGCCGTTAATGTACGACATGTTTCAAACAGGAGTTTTGAAAAGAAGAGAAGTTGCACTTCAAAGTCCACAAAGTGTTATTACAGTAAATCCCGTTCTGCTGCTGGACACACACACACACACACACACACACACACACACACACACTCTCTGCCACTCACTGCAGGGTTTCCGCCAGCAGGCCGCCGGTCTAAGCGTTGCCCCCCCGCTGCCTCCATTACACAGGGGAAAACCCCGGATGTCTAAAGTAGTTGACAGCAGATCCTGGGTCAGTCAGGAGCGCTACAAATATCACAGCTTTGACGATCACCTGATCACATTGGTTGAAACGGCACCTTATGTCTAAAATCGATGGACGGTTCAGCCCAACAAACAGGTTCTGGTGGGACCACCTGAGGACTGCAGACTTACGGGGGTCTCTTGGGGGCGTTGGGGTCTTTCCTCTTACGGCCTCTCTTCCCAAAGCCTTTAGGGGGAACGTAGTCGCTCATCTCACGGTTGTAGCGCACCTTGTCGGCCTTGGCCATGTCCTCAAAACGCTTCTTCTCAGTGGGGGACAAGGCCTGGACACACAGAGACACGGTGAGACCAGGAGGACAAACAGCTCCTATGTAAACAACAACAAATAATAATAATGTTTTGATGAGGAGCACCCCCTGGTGGACTAAGCTGTCCTTCAGACACGATGTTTCAGCTAAAATGGTTCACAGAGCATCACTTAGTCCACATGTCTCTTTAATGTAGCAGAGATGAACTGATTAGACTTTTCACCGCTGTAATTAACCCACCAGTAACAAAAGACCACGGCGCACCTGGCTCAGACAACAGAAGGGAACGACTGGAGAAGGCCTGAACTCACACACCCAGGGGGAGCCCAAAAACGAGCTCGTTTCTAATGCATTACTGGGGCAGCAGCATCAGCAGCAGGGACCTGAAAAGGCTCCACAGCCTGATAAAAAGGCTGGTTCTGTTCTGGGGACGACTGTGGAACCGCTGGAGGAGATCATCAAGAGAATGATGGACAACCCTGAGCATTCTCTTCACAAGACTGTCCGACAACGGAAGAGTGTCTTCAGTCAGAGGCTTCTTCAGTTTGGCTGCAACACTGACCGCTACTGGAGATCCTTCCTGCCGACAGCCATTGTAGTATTGTATTAATATTTATTAATATTGTAATAAAGTCTTTTTGAATTGCATTTATGGACTCAGCCTAGCGGGACCTCTTCTGAGCGGAGAAGATGCAGAGCTGCGTCCTGCTCAGAACACACATGTTCATGTCTGCTCATACTCTGGTTCTTCCGTCATGTCTGACACGCTCGGCCTCAGCTGAGCTCATCACCCCTGAGACTTCACTGGTGTGATTAGGGAATACTGGTTTATCCCCACTGACTTGCATTCAGTGTCCCTTCTTGTGGGGACCCCTGGTCCAGAAGTAGACGGGTGTGGCTTAGGCTCCCTGTAAACATCTGCTTCACGGGAGGGGGAGAAACGTTCATTTACATAGAGCCAAATCACAACAAGAGTGGTCTCTAGGCCCTTCAGCTCCATCGTCTGTGTCGGACAGATCCAGTGTGTACGCTCTTGTTTCTTATAGTTTATCTAACAGAGACGATGGAACACCCATGGGACTGTGTCATCAGCAAGGACACGGGCCACAGCGCCCTCTGCTGCCCGTGGATAAAAGGAAGTGATGCCACCATCACTGGTGACGGCTGGAGCTACTGGCTGTAACATGTCAGGTAAACAACTTTTACTAAACTGGGTTAGGAAACAAAGACTGGATTACGGACAAAAACACACAAAAAGGTTTCGCTGAGGTTCTACATCTTCATGCAGAGTCTGGCCAGCAGCGTTACAGCTTCACATTAACATTCCCACAAGAACAGCAGCAAGCCGTGACCAGCTGGGTCCTCAGGTCAGGTGACTTTCAGGTTTTCTCTCATTACATGAAACAAGAGCGGTGCGTCAGAAGCATCCACGAGTCTGACTGATGCTCAGGGCTGATAAAGCTGGAGACTGGTGGCTTAATATCAGTAAATAAAGAGTTTATGCTCCCATCCAGCTGTGCTACTGGACACCTGTCCCCCACCATGTCCCCATCCAGCTGCGCTACTGGACACCTGTCCCCCACCATGTCCCCATCCAGCTGCGCTACTGGACACCTGTCCCCCACCATGTCCCCATCCAGCTGCGCTACTGGACACCTGTCCCCCACCATGTCCCCATCCAGCTGCGCTACTGGACACCTGTCCCCCACCATGTCCCCATCCAGCTGCGCTACTGGACACCTGTCCCCCACCATGTCCCCATCCAGCTGCGCTACTGGACACCTGTCCCCCACCATGTCCCCATCCAGCTGCGCTACTGGACACCTGTCCCCCACCATGTCCCCATCCAGCTGCGCTACTGGACACCTGTCCCCCACCATGTCCCCATCCAGCTGTGCTACTGGACACCTGTCCCCCACCATGTCCCCATCCAGCTGCGCTACTGGACACCTGTCCCCCACCATGTCCCCATCCAGCTGTGCTACTGGACACCTGTCCCCCACCATGTCCCCATCCAGCTGTGCTACTGGACACCTGTCCCCCACCATGTCTCCATCCAGCTGCGCTACTGGACACCTGTCCCCCACCATGTCCCCATCCAGCTGTGCTACTGGACACCTGTCCCCCACCATGTCCCCATCCAGCTGCGCTACTGGACACCTGTCCCCCACCATGTCCCCATCCAGCTGCGCTACTGGACACCTGTCCCCCACCATGTCCCCATCCAGCTGTGCTACTGGACACCTGTCCCCCACCATGCCCCCTCCACCAGCTCACCTTCCACCTCTCAGAACATTTCTTGGAGAACTCAGCGAAGTTGACGGACTGTTCTGGGTTCTTCTTCCGGTGCTCCTCTCGACACGTCTGGACGAAGAAGGCGTACGCTGACGTCTTCCCCTTGGGCTTGTTGAGGTCTTTACGCATCATGGTGACGGCCTGAAGAGAGACGAGGACAGGTGGGTCAGAGCCGTGGTTCTGGTTCCACAGACAGTCCCAGTCAGTCAAACTGGAGCCTGACCCAGGTGTGGCTACAGGTTACCTGGGGTGGCTCAGGTGAGCTAAAGTCTGAGTAGAGCGGCTTGTGTCAGGATGAGACCCATGAACACACCTGGAGTCGTACAGGTCATTACTGACATCACACCTGCACAGGTGAGGTTTCTACAGAGTAAGGTGTTTATGACCACTGCCTGGTTCGGTTTTCTACCTCTCTAGTACTGGTTAGTTAACTAGGTAACCAGGTTAATGGAGAATAAAGGATGTTCCTGCTTCTATTATATTCCTAACCCACCTGAGGGTGAAGCAGGCTGACATTTGACCTTTATTATATCTCTTAGCTAGAGCCGGTGTTTTTCTCCTGAAACTGTCCGGTGATGACCCGGCTGGCTCTGCGGGCCTCTGGGGTGTCAGGCTCCGGGGGGGCCAGGCCGGGCTGTGGCCCTCTCCCAGGACGCTCCGGCGGGCCTCCGATCCCAGTGGACCCGCCTCCTAGCCTAGCTAGCGTTAGCCTAGCCGCTAACAGGCAGAACAAAGAGCCACCATTTGCTGCTTCCCGCCCTCTGCAGAGGACCGGCCCATCCCCCTCCGCTCCGCAGAAACCCGGTTAAAACCGGACAGAAAACACCGCGTCACGGTTCAAAAACAAACATTTATTCCATATTTAACCTTAGCTCTGTCATTAACACACACCACCCTGATGCAACGGAAACGCAACACCATTACAGCTGCTGCGCATTTCCAACAACAACAACAGACTATCATCTGGAGCGGACACGGCTAATGCCTGGTATCATACTCCAAAATGGGCGTTTCATGTTTACAACAACACGCTCCGATCCGAGCCCAGTAGAACCAGAACCGGACCCAGATGTGGAAGCTTAGGTCTGCTCCCTCACGGCCGAACTGTTCTAAAGGCCTTTTATTCATTTATCCAGTCTTTTGTCTCTGGTTCCATCACGTCAGTCAGAACACAGCCGGTAAATCACAGCCCGGTCGTTTCAGAACTAAACCGGTCCGGTCACCGGAGAACAGCGGAGGTACTCACTCGGTAAGCGGGCCGGCAGGGGTTAGGAGGACCGGGACTAGGTGTCCGGTTTTAATCGGTTGTTGTTGTTGTTAAGGGACAGAAGCTGCGACCGGAGCCGTTAGTTCACTTTCAAACTGGGTCGAGCTGAGTCGAGACCACGCCCCCTGGTAACGCCCCTTTGTGTTTCCTATTCGGGGGTGGAGTCAACGTCTGCCTCATTGGGCGGGGCTTCGCTCAGCTCTCCTCTGGATTGGCTCTGAGGACTTCAGAATTTTAAAGCCTTCACGCTCTCCTGGGAATAAAGGCTCTTCGTGTCGATCAGGTGTGCGTGGATGTCCGGCCAGTGAAGTTTGGGCCATTGTTTCTCATTAACTTTAGCAACTAGGACAGGATAACTGCAGCCCGACTGTTCGTGACAGAGGAACACACAACACACTGTGTCTGGTTCAGCTCAGTAGAGGCACACGTGACACAAGCGCCACGTGCAGTGCTTCATTTTATTCCCACATAATTGGTTATCATGACAAATACATACATATGTGGCAAAGTGGATAAACGAGGGCCCGAGCGGGATTCGATCCCCAGACTCCCGGGTGAGAGTCATACGCTCTAACCAGTCAGCCAAAGGGACATCCCCTTGGCCAAGTAGCCAGGGCGCATGATCAATCAGGACACTGTGACAGGATGCTCACACTGTCACACAGATAAAGGTGTAAGAGGGGTATGGTGACACATAAACAAGTGTAAGAGGGTTATGGTGACACATACACAGGTGTAAGAGGGTTATGGTGACACATAAACAAGTGTAAGAGGGTTATGGTGACACATAAACAAGTGTAAGAGGGTTATGGTGATACATACACAGGTGTAAGAGGGTTATGGTGACACATACACAGGTGTAAGAGGGTTATCGTGACACATATACAGGTGTAAGAGGGTTATGGTGACACATACACAGGTGTAAGAGGGCTATGGTGACACATATACAGGTGTAAGAGGGTTATCGTGAAACATACACAGGTGTAAGAGGGTTATGGTGACACATATACAGGTGTAAGAGGGTTATGGTGACACATACACAGGTGTAAGAGGGTTATCGTGAAACATACACAGGTGTAAGAGGGTTATGGTGACACATACACAGGTGTAAGAGGGTTATGGTGACACATACACAGGTGTAAGAGGGTTATCGTTACACATACACAGGTGTAAGAGGGTTATGGTGACACATATACAGGTGTAAGAGGGTTATCGTGACACATACACAGGTGTAAGAGGGTTATCGTGACACATATACAGGTGTAAGAGGGTTATCGTGACACATATACAGGTGTAAGAGGGTTATCGTGACACATATACAGGTGTAAGAGGGTTATGGTGACACATATACAGGTGTAAGAGGGTTATCGTGACACATATACAGGTGTAAGAGGGTTATGGTGACACATACACAGGTGTAAGAGGGTTATCGTGACACATATACAGGTGTAAGAGGGTTATCGTGACACATATAAAGGTGTAAGAGGGTTATCGTGAAACATACACAGGTGTAAGAGGGTTATCGTGACACATATAAAGGTGTAAGAGGGTTATCGTGAAACATATACAGGTGTAAGAGGGTTATCGTGACACATATACAGGTGTAAGAGGGTTATGGTGACACATATACAGGTGTAAGAGGGTTATCGTGACACATATACAGGTGTAAGAGGGTTATCGTGACACATATACAGGTGTAAGAGGGTTATGGTGACACATATACAGGTGTAAGAGGGTTATCGTGACACATATACAGGTGTAAGAGGGTTATGGTGACACATATACAGGTGTAAGAGGGTTATGGTGACACATACACAGGTGTAAGAGGGTTATCGTGACACATACACAGGTGTAAGAGGGTTATCGTGACACATATACAGGTGTAAGAGGGTTATCGTGACACATACACAGGTGTAAGAGGGTTATGGTGACACATATACAGGTGTAAGAGGGTTATCGTGACACATATACAGGTGTAAGAGGGTTATGGTGACACATATACAGGTGTAAGAGGGTTATCGTGACACATACACAGGTGTAAGAGGGCTATGGTGACACATATACAGGTGTAAGAGGGTTATGGTGACACATACACAGGTGTAAGAGGGTTATGGTGACACATATACAGGTGTAAGAGGGTTATGGTGACACATACACAGGTGTAAGAGGGTTATGGTGACACATATACAGGTGTAAGAGGGTTATGGTGACACATACACAGGTGTAAGAGGGTTATCGTGACACATACACAGGTGTAAGAGGGTTATCGTGACACATATACAGGTGTAAGAGGGTTATCGTGACACATACACAGGTGTAAGAGGGTTATGGTGACACATATACAGGTGTAAGAGGGTTATGGTGACACATACACAGGTGTAAGAGGGTTATGGTGACACATATACAGGTGTAAGAGGGTTATCGTGACACATATACAGGTGTAAGAGGGTTATGGTGACACATATACAGGTGTAAGAGGGTTATGGTGACACATATACAGGTGTAAGAGGGTTATGGTGACACATATACAGGTGTAAGAGGGTTATGGTGACACATATACAGGTGTAAGAGGGTTATCGTGACACATATACAGGTGTAAGAGGGTTATGGTGACACATATACAGGTGTAAGAGGGTTATGGTGACACATATACAGGTGTAAGAGGGTTATGGTGACACATATACAGGTGTAAGAGGGTTATGGTGACACATATACAGGTGTAAGAGGGTTATCGTGACACATACACAGGTGTAAGAGGGTTATCGTGACACATATACAGGTGTAAGAGGGTTATCGTGACACATACACAGGTGTAAGAGGGTTATCGTGAAACATACACAGGTGTAAGAGGGCTATGGTGACACATATACAGGTGTAAGAGGGTTATGGTGACACATACACAGGTGTAAGAGGGTTATGGTGACACATATACAGGTGTAAGAGGGTTATGGTGACACATACACAGGTGTAAGAGGGTTATGGTGACACATATACAGGTGTAAGAGGGTTATGGTGACACATACACAGGTGTAAGAGGGTTATCGTGACACATACACAGGTGTAAGAGGGTTATCGTGAAACATACACAGGTGTAAGAGGGCTATCGTGACACATATACAGGTGTAAGAGGGTTATGGTGACACATATACAGGTGTAAGAGGGTTATCGTGACACATATACAGGTGTAAGAGGGTTATCGTGACACATACACAGGTGTAAGAGGGTTATGGTGACACATATACAAGTGTAAGAGGGTTATGGTGACACATACACAGGTGTAAGAGGGTTATGGTGACACATATACAGGTGTAAGAGGGTTATCGTGACACATACACAGGTGTAAGAGGGTTATCGTGACACATATACAGGTGTAAGAGGGTTATCGTGACACATATACAGGTGTAAGAGGGTTATCGTGACACATATACAGGTGTAAGAGGGTTATGGTGACACATATACAGGTGTAAGAGGGTTATGGTGACACATATACAGGTGTAAGAGGGTTATCGTGACACATATACAGGTGTAAGAGGGTTATCGTGACACATACACAGGTGTAAGAGGGTTATGGTGACACATATACAAGTGTAAGAGGGTTATGGTGACACATACACAGGTGTAAGAGGGTTATGGTGACACATACACAGGTGTAAGAGGGTTATGGTGACACATATACAGGTGTAAGAGGGTTATCGTGACACATATACAGGTGTAAGAGGGTTATCGTGACACATACACAGGTGTAAGAGGGTTATGGTGACACATACACAGGTGTAAGAGGGTTATCGTGAAACATACACAGGTGTAAGAGGGCTATCGTGACACATATACAGGTGTAAGAGGGTTATGGTGACACATATACAGGTGTAAGAGGGTTATCGTGACACATATACAGGTGTAAGAGGGTTATCGTGACACATACACAGGTGTAAGAGGGTTATGGTGACACATATACAAGTGTAAGAGGGTTATGGTGACACATACACAGGTGTAAGAGGGTTATGGTGACACATATACAGGTGTAAGAGGGTTATCGTGACACATACACAGGTGTAAGAGGGTTATCGTGACACATATACAGGTGTAAGAGGGTTATCGTGACACATATACAGGTGTAAGAGGGTTATCGTGACACATATACAGGTGTAAGAGGGTTATGGTGACACATATACAGGTGTAAGAGGGTTATGGTGACACATATACAGGTGTAAGAGGGTTATCGTGACACATATACAGGTGTAAGAGGGTTATCGTGACACATACACAGGTGTAAGAGGGTTATGGTGACACATATACAAGTGTAAGAGGGTTATGGTGACACATACACAGGTGTAAGAGGGTTATGGTGACACATACACAGGTGTAAGAGGGTTATGGTGACACATATACAGGTGTAAGAGGGTTATCGTGACACATATACAGGTGTAAGAGGGTTATCGTGACACATACACAGGTGTAAGAGGGTTATGGTGACACATACACAGGTGTAAGAGGGTTATGGTGACACATATACAGGTGTAAGAGGGTTATCGTGACACATATACAGGTGTAAGAGGGTTATGGTGACACATACACAGGTGTAAGAGGGTTATGGTGACACATATACAGGTGTAAGAGGGTTATCGTGACACATATACAGGTGTAAGAGGGTTATGGTGACACATACACAGGTGTAAGAGGGTTATGGTGACACATATACAGGTGTAAGAGGGTTATCGTGACACATATACAGGTGTAAGAGGGTTATGGTGACACATATACAGGTGTAAGAGGGTTATCGTGACACATACACAGGTGTAAGAGGGTTATGGTGACACATATACAGGTGTAAGAGGGTTATGGTGACACATACACAGGTGTAAGAGGGTTATGGTGACACATATACAGGTGTAAGAGGGTTATCGTGACACATACACAGGTGTAAGAGGGTTATGGTGACACATACACAGGTGTAAGAGGGTTATGGTGACACATATACAGGTGTAAGAGGGTTATCGTGACACATATACAGGTGTAAGAGGGTTATGGTGACACATACACAGGTGTAAGAGGGTTATGGTGACACATATACAGGTGTAAGAGGGTTATCGTGACACATATACAGGTGTAAGAGGGTTATCGTGACACATACACAGGTGTAAGAGGGTT